AGGTGGCGGCCAATAATTAAATTAATCGAAGTACATATGGTATCGAGGAGTTGCGTGTGCTGCGAAGAGGAGACGCATTTTTAAGGCAGTGAAAGCGGCAATGCGATGGGGGACGAAGGGGGATGGGGAGATATATAACGCGTGGACGTTGAAGGTGCGCAGTCGGAGTGAAACGACCGGTAGGTAGGCTGTAAAAGGTAAACCCGTCGTATCGGCACCGTTCGTGGTCCGCGGGCATTCCAGGCGACGCCAACGTACCCTCCTCTCCTCCTCCTTCGCCTCTCCTCTCCCCCCCTGCCGCCGCAGCTCTCCTCTCCTTGCGCTCTATCCCCCGGAGCCCCTCCCATTACGAGCTCGCAGTAACGCAACTGTATGCAATCGTGTAAATTATAATGCGACTACGTACGCGAGGTCGACACCAGACACCCTGAATTCTTCGGATGCGATTATTCGGCAAGTGAGAACGCCAGAGATCGATAAAGTTCCCGAGACAATGTCGCGGTGGTCGAGTTTATCGGACGTGACAATTGCAAAACGTGTACGCTATTTTAGTACAAACTGCTTTGCAGAGCACAAATGTGGGAATTTTTATGAAATCGCGGACTTTCGCGTCAGTCGTAACGTACTACGTAGCGCGACGAAGGCACGTTGGTGACGACGAATGCCGGTGGTGCACGAATACGTACGCACATGTGCGCTCGAGCTGGCAAACAGGCTGCAAGGCCAGCCAGGATAGGCTGATTCATTCAATTCCTTCGCTGCGGACTCGGCGCTACGAGCTACCGACAACTGATTTTCCAGAACTACTTAGTATGCATTGGACAGAGCCCGGGCACGACACGATAGGGTATATCCTCTCCCGTCATCTAACGGGGATTCCAACGCCGCGACAAGCGAGGCGCATCGGACACACAAGGCGCGCAGCTCGGGCTCCGGCCGCGGTCGATCCGTTTTCCCCTGCGTCGCGGCCGATTATGTCACGCCGTGCACTTAGCGGCGCGTACATACGCACGCACGCGTGTCGCGATTCAGCATTCGGATCGCTCGCGATCGCCTTAATTGCGCAACGCGAAGGCCGGACGCGTATGCATGTCGTCGGGGATATTAAAGCACGGAATACCGCGACGTACGCGACGGCACGGCAGTGGACTAGACACGGGGGAGAAGGTGCGTGCTCTCGGGAGATTGCGAAAATTCCAACTTTCGCTCTGTCCCGGGTAAATTATTACATACGCGAGCGAGGGGGGGTAATACTTTTAATTGTGCAAGATTAAGATCGGAGATTACCAGCCCTGTCTCCCTGTAATTTCGATCACGGGCTTTATTCGACGCGCATCGATCTTGCGTGGCAGATACATATCGCCCCGGTATCACCGGCGACGTTGCGCTTATAAGGACTCGGGCGCGCGCGGGCACTTACGCAAAACTCGGCTACCGAAATAGCAAGCCGAGCCGGCGGAGTCTCGCGTCGCGGCCGATCGCGGGACGTATGTGAATAATCGCAGCGCTTAATTTTTCTCGACGTCGACGCGATAGCATCGCGCAGCACGGCGATGCGTTCAGCGACATGCTATTTGTTAACCGCGCCGTAAAACATGGCTAGAGCTCGGAGATATCTCGCCCGCGGCACGTGATCCGGAATAGCGAAGGGAGAAAGGAGCGGAGGGCGTCGGGGCGTCGAGGAGGGGAGCGAAGGGTGGGAGGGGATGGGCGGGGGGGGGGGGATGAAAAAGGGAGAAAAACGGAGTTTTGTATATTGTGACAGATCGGACAGGCAGAGTGCGACTAATTGACTCGTTGAGATTTTTCCGTAGCGCGCGCACACGGCAGGCAGTTTAATGCGACCGGCCTATTGATGACTCTTCGTTTAATCTCGCTCCGTTCTGCGTCCTCGCATAAAGGGCGCTCGTTCATCATCGGGAGATTATGATAGGAGTCGGGCTGAATGAAGACATTACGCATGCGATAGCTCAAGGATCCGTCCCGACGCGTCCGGTCGCTCTACATATAATCCTTTTGTATATCGTTCAACGAAGATGCATCGCAGATAGCGCGCTTATTGTTAGATTTAATCCTTCGCGCGCGATGCTTCCGAGGCTGCGCTGAATATCTAAGCGCGTAGAGCTTAAGTCCTCGCGATATCGACGCCCAATTACATATGTAAATTGAAATATTTCCACTCGGCGTGAGGAAAGACAATTATATTACCCAGTGACGTTTCACAATTTTTTATGAAAGCTTTTATACTATATGTATATATTGGTTATAGCATAATTATATTTTTTCGTCTCCGTGGAGAGATCTCGATGAACGGAGCTAAATAATTTGGAGGCCGATCGCGTCACATCGGATGCACTCTGCGTCCCAGACTTGCGTTACGAGCGGATGAAACGGGGAGCGAGGTAAAAAAAGGAAGAGAAAAGTTGGATCAAATCCTTCGGGCGAAGCGAAAAAACGAGGGGTCTCGTGGTCGCGCCCTCGTCCTCAGGCCGCAGGATGACGATCCGCGCGAGATGCGCCTAGCGAGAGGATCGGCGAGGAAGAGGACGGACGGCGAGGAGAGGAGGGTGGGCGGGGGGAGAGCAAGGAGACGACGAGGGTCGCATTATTTGCATTTTAATTTGCATATTAAAACATGCCTCCTCGATCGGTCGACCCGGGTCCGCGAAATACGATACCTCGCGCTCCATGTCTGTCGCATTAGCGTTGTAAAGCCGAGTTATACACGACCGCAAAAGCAACCCGACGTCCCTGAAACCGTTCACGCATGCCGATCTTGAAATATGCACCCGCGTGGACCCAAGATTGCCGGATCTCGATAGGGCCGCGCGTTGCCCCGATCGATCTGCGCGTAAACGCCGATTCTTCGCGGTATTTGCTCAGGACACGGCGCGATACTAATAATTACGGTAATAATAGCGTCTGTGAGACACCGGGACCGTCGTTCTTGCTCTATCGCGCTTTTTAATCCGCCCTAAGAACGCATTAACCCACATCTCGGCGCTGCACATTGTAGCCGCGCCGCGGTTTTTGCACAGCGCCAATTTTCCACGATAACTAATGACGGGATATCGCCGCGAGTTTTTCTCCACGTTACTTCGCTAATTATTACTTGTAACGAGACAAAATGCGAGCCATCACGCTTAGCGCAACGTCTAATTCTAATCATATTCACGCGTCAGTGCTGTCGCACCTGAGAACAAACGCGCACCACTCGAAGCGAGAGCTTTCGGACGTCATAACGTTTATCGCCGTTAAACGGCACAATTCCCTTCGTCCGGTCTCAACCGTGAACTTACCTGGACGGTAAAAGCCGTCGTCGCATTTTCCCGGCATTGTCGATCTCGGCGGCGGGAACGAATGCACGCCAGCGATCACGTGAGCCCTGCGAGGGGACCGGCGCGCTGCGCACGACGTGACCATCGGAGAGAACACCTCTCCGCTTCCTCGTGACTCCCCGTTATTATCGTTGTTTCGAGCCGTTAATATTAATGGACGTAAATGCGCGTTGCCGTGCGCTCGAGAGAGAAATAAAGAGGAGACGCGACGGAGGTGGACGCGGGAGATGAGCCGCGGCAAAGACGCGGGAGAGGCACGGCCGGAGGGGGGCCCGCCGCGCCTGGACCCCTTCGCCTCGCTATAATTGAATAGACGTAGCTGCGCGTACTGCGTGCTCGTAAAACATTAATGACCAATAGCCGGCGCGAGCGGCCGATGATCGTTTTGCATTATTATTCCTCAAAGTCAGAGGCGGCCGCGGTGTGTTTAGCCACGAATTTTCCACGCTCGCGACCGCGGGTGAGCTCCGGCCGGAGCTGGGCAATCGCGAATACGCGCCGCCGAGTAAGTGGGTGCACACATCTCCACGTATGTATATTACCCGTTAAACGGACAGTGAGGCGGCGTGACAAAAGAAACGCTCGTTTTCTTTGTAAAATTATGAAATTAGCTCAAGTTTACGATACTTCTTGCCTCGTGAAACGAAGACGCGAGACGCGATTTAGCTTTGCACTTGATGTTCTCTACATGGAAAAAAAATGTTGAATTAAGCAAAATGAAGTTGCTTGAATTAAACGTTAACGTCACGGGCAGCTACAAACATAAATGATTCACTCAATTGTATTTGCTATGGATTTTAATTTTAAGCATTCAACTAAATATCCAGATTATTCAGACAACAATCTGATGTTTTTAATTTATTAATACTGATGTGTCAACGATTTTATTTCAATTACGTTTGTAATTTTTCCGTGTAGTAGCACAATATATTGGCGCAATATTGGGAAATAATGTAAATCTAGTATTCCCAATATTGGTCCAATATTGTAAGACGACCGCCTTCTCTAGTTTAGCCAGTGTCTGTTTAGCAATATTGGTTTAATATTTTTATTACATTGTTAAATATTGGCCAATGCACTTCAATATAAATCTAATATTGTATAATTATTATCGTGCAATATTTATTCCATGATCAATATTGGCTTTACGTTGGACAATATCGGCCAATGCAGTTCTAATATAACCAACATTGGACCAACGTTTAGCCAATGCACTGTGCTACTAGGATTTAATGCACCACATATATCCTGTAGTATATCAAACATAGAAATCTCTTTAAGTTGCCAGTAATAGATAACAATAATCAAGCTTTTTCTAGCAGACATTAACGGGCCAGTGTTTTAATACAGAAAATTTATTGCGAAACGTGCCTCAGTGGTCGAATTGGTGAGACGCCCGCCTAGAGTGTAGGAAAGTCCGGGTTCAAACCCTGGTTGAGGTAGTATTTTTTTATTATGTATAGATTATAGTATTTCTTTATACAGAATATATCAAATTTATATTATAATCGAAACTTTGTAAAGTACGTGTCGCATTAACGTAGTTCTCTCAAGAACTCCATTAATCGCTGTATCTCAGAAGCCACTTACCTGGAAACTTACTCCGATTTTTGCCCATGAGAAAACCGCGAGGAAATATACATTGTACGACGTTACGCCCTGTTGTAGAAATTCTCTGTCTTTATTTTCACTCTTCGTAACGACTTCGTTCGAATATACACAAAACCTGCAAAATACTACATCGTTATCGCGCGCGCGGGCGCGCGCGCGAGTCGAGCGGACGCCGAAGACGTCAAATTAGACAAGATTACAGCCGTTAGGATCCTCCGAGAACCCTCGGCAAACGAATCCTGGTTCCCTCGCGCGTTCTCCCGCGGGTATTTTCCATTAGACGCATCTTCGTCCGTCGTTCCCCCGATTTTTACGCCCTTTCTTCATCATCTTAGCTCGGCCGACTGGCAGCTCCAAGCGCTCCGTCATGCGAGAGAACGATAGGGAGAGAGAAGGAGAGAGAGAGCGAGAGAGGAAAAGCAGGCGGGAGAGCGAGAGAGAAGGGCACGGGGAGATATTCTCGTTTCCTCGAAGCGTTTCGAACGCAGTACCTGCTACGTACCGCGAGGTTTGTAATCACGCGTTTAACAGCCAATCGCGCAACGTCACGCAATCGGGCGCGAGAGCGCGCGAAACTTCGGGGTCATCGTACACGAAAAGGAAGCCAAATGCTGCGAAGCATGACGAGCTAATGGATTAATCGTCACAAAGTATCGCTCTGGCCGGCCGTGCGGGCGAGCGAGCGAGCGAGCGCATCTCGACTCAGCCCGGCTCGGCAGCCAAGTCGCTACCGCCTCGTTCGAGCTTCGTACGCGATCCCAATGATGACCTAGACCTTCGAAGGACGTCGGTAATTTTCTCTTCCTAGAAGCCGCCGACCGGCTCGTTTACATTCTACCGTCGATTTCTCCGTGCTGCGTCGGTTGCGCGCTTCGCGTTACACGTTGCCGGCCTCGGACGTGTTCGGAAAGTTTAGATCGACGTTCAACAATCCGCTTCACGTCCCCTTCGTGCGACCCTACGTACGAGCCGTCGTCGGAACATTTCATTCGTCCATCCTGTTTCTTGTATTATTGGGATGCTGGATGAAAACCGGGAAAAAAACTGTGCAAATGAACACGAATAAGTGAATTTGCTGTAATGAGTATAAACTGCGCTATGAGTTTAAACGTACATCGAATACGTTCCATTCCTTTTACATCAAGCGAAACGAGCACGTACTTTGTCCAAACGCGCGTTCGTGATTAATTGATTATTCATCTTTGCTACCGCGATTCAGATCCGCCTTTACACGAAACACTGAACGGCGTAAAGCTCAAGATATAACAAATTAAACTTGCCCGAGAACGCTAGAATAAATTCTATATCAAAGAAACCTTGATAAAAAATTCATGTTGAATATTATTAAAGTTATTATAAGGTTTGCAACAACACAAAATGCCCGAGTTTTATTTTCGAGATTCGTTTGGTTACTGACACGACGCGTTTATTGTTACAGGCGGTTCGAGATTCGCAGTTTCCAACGGTTAATCTCGCAGATCAGCTAGATGCTTCCTGAGCGGGGTTAATTGTACGCGGGCGCGTTTTTCCGACACCAATGTTACTCGGCGGCCGTGGCTGAGGTAATCGCGCGGTAAGAGAGCCCGCTACTATTAACACGCCCCTCGCGGGACGACAGATTCTCTAATGACGGAAGCCACGAAGAAGCGATACTGCGTGCTATCCCCGGTCGGCATGCCCCGCTACATCCGCTGCAGCAGCAAGCACCGGGGCCCGTAATTACGGGATCATTTTCCCCGGTCAACAGCCTTGTAAATCATTCCGCGCAATACCCCCGTGGTGGACGTTCGCGTTCGCGTCCTCTCGCGGCAAAAGAAATCGTTGGCGTAGCAATTTCCTTGACGGTGGTCCGAGCCGTAAATCCCTCATCAACTCATTCGCGACCGATACATTCGCCCTCGTCTCCATCCTCCGCGGTCCGAAAAGCGGTGTCTCCCCAAATTTGTATTCCTATCCTCTTAACAGTGGACCGACAGTCGGCGGCTGTTTAGGAGAACAGTTTTCGTTCTTACTTATAAAAATACAGCGGATTTTCTTAATCGATAAAAATAGTCGATATTTATACTCTCGCATTTCTCGTTAGAAAAACATTTATGACAATACTGGCTCGATTGTTTTTAAGACCCTGGGACGATCCTTTCGAGACGAACGTGTAATACTCCTCGCGTCTGAAAAAGAGCATCGGCACCCGCAACCGCGCCGAACAATTCCCGCGACCTTTCGACTCCCGTGCACGTCACATCATTTGTTCCGGTGGTACCAGCTGGGGTCAGCTACCGCGAGTCACAAACGATTCCCCGCGGATGTTGGGTCTAACTTGGACGGAAGAAAACGCGCGCTCAGCACACAGTATTGTAAATGCCCTCCTCGTCGTCGCCGGTGCTCGCCGACACATCGGACACCTCGGACAGCGCAAGCTTCACGTAGCCCCGATCTCGCTCCCTGGTGCCGTTCGCCCCCACCGGCGGAGATTTTTCATCCTGCGACCAATCTCGCAACAGGCCACCGCCCGGCTCGCAGATCTCGGCGTAGATCTCTTCCGGTTTCGGCGGCGGTGTGGGCGGCAACGGCGTCAGGCTGTCTCTCACTTTAGAGTACGGCGGATCCATGTCCGGACTATTGGTCTGCACCTCGAGGACGCTCGTCGAGATCGAACGCTGCACCTGTTGTCTACACGACGCCTGCGACGCCTGCATCAGATTCGTTTCCGACTCCAAACTGGCGTATCTCTCTGGCGATCGCATGCCGATCTCCGGTCGTACAGCGAACGTGAAAGATGCCGATTTCTTCGCCGGGTTTCTGCTCTTCCCACCCTGCGCTATCCTCGAGATCCTGTCGAGGAAGCTGTGATTATTGCCGGCGCTGCGACTGTTGCTCCGGTCGCGGATCGTCGTCTTCTTGATGTGCTCCAGACCCTCTTTCAAGCTCTGCAGTATTGGTTTCGCCTCGTGCTTCGCCTTAATCTCCTTCAAATGCAGCTCTTTCAGCTGACTATTGTTGGATGCCGGTTTCGGCGGGGCGACTCGAGGCTCGGTCGCTCTCTGGTCTAAGGCTCTTCTATAAAGCGGTACCAAAGCGCATGATCGTCCCGGTTTTATTTTATTTATTTCGTACGTAAGGTAATAAATTAAAAAAATGATCCGTGAGAAAAAGTTTTCTCACTCGCGTTAAGAATACATCAAGGTTTTATTATAGAGTTCTATAATGTAAGCTAGAAATTCAACTTTAGAAGATTAACTGCAATTGTTCATGAAGTGTAAACTTTGGTGACTTTTAAGAAATAATCTTCTCTTTGCGGAAAATTATTGTATTTCCTCAAACAAATTAATTTTATATAACACATTAATTCCATAATTCATTATTAAAATTGCAATAATTAATTTAATAACATTTAATTTTGAAGCCTGTGCCAATACCGCAGAGTTCAAACAATTAATACATAACGTAAGCGCACAGAAAAAAAGTGTCGGATCAACTCTTATATACTCAAATTATCGCGTTCATTGTTTTGTATATACGCAACAATCTATAATCTTCTTAGAAGCGTTAATAATCTTACATTCCCACAATATTACAGTCTTATTTAAAAACTATAATTGTCACTTCAAGAACACATATAATTATTTTAACAATGAAATCATTTTAATCATTATAATCTTCGACTTGAAAATATGTTATTTTCTATTCAACATCGTTTCCTTTCCATTCAAGAAAATGATTCGTAATTAATAAGCATGCATTTATCTTGATTGAATTATACAAAATTACTTCAGTCAATAAGTTTTTCTTCCTTTAACGCGATATAATCTCATTTCAAGATTTTCACGTTGAGACGAAACATATTAAAAAAAACACACATTTTCAAAAGAAGGATATACTTTTTTTCTGTGCGATGTTTCGTTCCACACAATCAAGATTCTTACCTGCAAGCCGAGAGTAATCGCTGCATTTTCGGCGAGGCGAGCAACCTCGCCTCAGAAGGGCATCCCAGTCGTGCCCTTTTCACCCGGGGCGCGGTTGGACCGATCGCGACGAGCTCCAGGAGCTCCGGCACCGTGGTATTGGGTAAGGGCCTCTCGGGCATTAGCGGTACCGCGCAGCCGAGGACTATGGGTCCCCTGGTCGCGTTCTCCAACTGCATCAGGCCGCTGTAATCTCGCGGCAACGGTATGGGCAGGGGTCCAGCGACTAGACGCACCTGGAGAGATCAAACACGCGGATCGTATCGCTACGGTTAATTAATCTTAAGGCGTTGCGACGAGAGTTTTACCCTCAGGGGCAGATCCCTCCTGGCGAGCTGGTGAACCCTGTAGAGCACCGCGTCGCTGCCGGTGTCGAGGCTGCCGCTCTGACAGGTCGCGTAGAACTCGCCTCTGGCCGAGAGCGGCGCGAACAACTCGTGCCCGTGAGAATCCAAGCACTGGGCGTACTGATCCCGCTCCGACGATCTCGAGCACTTGCCTTCCGGGATCATTCCGGACGCGCCGGTGGTGACCGGGGCCCGGCGAGTGTCCTGGAAAACGGCGGTCAGCCGCAGGACCTCACCGGCGCGCACCGTCGTCTTCGTGTAGTGGGCCCGCAAATTTCCATTCTCTGCGACAGAAATTGATATTCGCTTTTCATCAGCATTAACAGAACTCGATTGGGATTTATTTATAACTCGTTGATTTTTCGAAAAAATCCGGAATACATCGGCTAAACTTGTGGTAAGTTTAATTGATGTTCGTGGGAACAGCTTAGAGGCGCAATTAGAGTACGCAATTTTAATTAAGAAACGTACTTTCGTTTTCTCTCTTTTTCACTTTGTATCATCAGTATAGTAAATTAATCAATTTGATTAGTATTTTCTATTCAATTAGTATTTTTTCTGGATTCTAAAACTTCCACCACGATACCGCAAAGGTATACAGGGTGTTCCAGGAGGAAAGGTTAATATTCTGGGAGGTGATGGATCGGTCATATTAAGCAAAAATGTTCATATGAATCCCATTCCCCACTGTTGCCGAGATAGAGCTATTTGAATGTACAGTTGCAAAATTGCTGACAAGAAAGAAATACTACGTACTATTATTCAAGTGATACATCTTTACAGATCATAATAAATTTTCGAAAATTCCATCGTTAACAACAGTGCATTTTTCAACTCTTGTGTGAACACGGCGTGTTGCACGTTCGACATTTGCGAATATGTGAGGCATTTTGAACATTTCTACAATGTTATCAGCACAACAGTCCGTATAAGAGTAAATTCCCGCAGACGTTTATGAGGTTGGATGAAGAGCGAAGTGTACAGAAAAAAATTAACACACGAGACATTCAAGTAGCTCTAGCTCGGAAACAGTGGGGAATGGGACGTACATTCACAGGAACATTTTTGCTTAAAATGATCGATACTGTCACCTCCCAGAATATTGATCCTTCCTCCTGGAACACCCTGTATAGTGCTCGGGAAGACATTATTTTGAATCTTCCCTCATTTTTACAGTTTTATAAGGGCACGTTCTCATCGAGGAAGCCTCCATGCGCTTCTAATATAATAACACGAGTGGCGAGACCAACCGCTCGATATCATCTCGACACTCGAGAAACACACGAGCGAATTTCCATATGAATCACGCGTCGATCGTGTACCGTTGCGCTGATGCGTAGGTACGATCGAAAGGTGGGGTGGCGAGCAATTAACGACAATAAACGCACCGGCTAACGGACGCCGACGCGAGTCGACGCCGCAAACTTACGGGACCCATCCGGATCCCGTCGAAAGGAGGAGCCGAGAGGGATGCGCTCGCGCAAGAATCCTCCTTTTCCGCCGTGACCATAATCGTTACGGCGGCGTGTGTAATGGCATAATGCTCGCGCCGCGAGCTGTGCCCGTGTAACATGCACGCGCGTCCGTGAGGACGGCTTTCACCGAGCCGCGTGCCTATTACGTTACGCGCTTGTCGCGCGTAAGCCTCGCCTCGCGTATGTTTAAGCGCACGAACGTACGCCGCGAAAGCTACACATTACGGACACATTGACATTCGTGTCACGGCCAGTCGCCGCAGATCGAGAAAATAATTCCCGTGGCGAGATCTGTACGCGCGTATCGCGAAGCCGTAAGGCCCGGTTTTCACCAACTTCGCTTCACTTTAAGGGGTTGCTGGAGTGGGCTTGCGCTTTTGCACCTTTCTAATCTAGAAGCTGTCAGTTCACGGAAACAATAGTGTAATATACAAATTAAACGGCTTGCGTGTACAGATCGGAAGCAGCTTGCTATTCCGGCTAAATTAAAGAGCAACATGGCATCACCGAAACTAAGTTTGTAATAAGGAATAATAGTGAGGAACACATTATGCGTACCGTACGTGTTGCTCACTATTATCTCTTATTAGACTTACAAAGTCAGTTTCGGTGATGCCATGTTGTTCTTTAATTTAACCGGAATAGCAAGCTGCTTTCGATCTGTACACGTAAGCCATTTAATTTGTATATTACACAAATGTTTCCACGAAACGGACAGTTTTAAGTGCCAAAGGTGCAAAAGTGCAAACTCACTCCAGCGCCGCCTTAAGCTTAGTTTAACTCGTTCTTTGTCTTTGTCCAACTGTTACTTCAGAAAGAGACGAAGGACGACTTAAGCTAAGCTGAAAGTTAAACAACGTTGGTGTAACCGGGCCTAAGACCGTTGGGTCGCCTTCACGTCTGAACAATGATACGAAGAAAACTGAAACCGACGACCTTAACGTTACCGTTAAGCGAGTGAAAAATGTATGCCGGGCCTTACCGTTTCGCCTATTCGCGCACAATCGCCATTTCTACCACTTTCCCAAAGAATTACAAAGGAAATTTCTCGCGTCTCGGGGAAAGAATCTACGTTGTTAACGAGCCGGTTGCGCGAGCCCACGGTGCGCAAACTCGGAGCGGGCCGCGTTTCCACAGGCAGATCGCAGCGGGTGATAACCGCAGCCGCGACAGTTGGCCCGTGGAAAATGCGGACTTGGGTTGGTCAGGATAATAAACTCAACGGGTGCCAGATGTGACGCGAGATACGTGGGTAATCTCTACCCGGTTAACTCGCCGGGACGCGTACGCGAGGAAGGAGTTACGCAAATGATGAAAAACAATCCTGAATTATATTGCCAAATCAAAGAGACACCTGGCGTCTTCGGGATCTGATCGGTAAATTTACGCCGACTATTAAGGCTCAACGTGTGCGCCGCGATAACTCTGTGACGCAGACGGACCGCTGATGAAATCGCTTACCCATTTTGGAGTGCGTCAACGTGTAAGCCCGCAATGGTTTCGCGAGCAAGAACGCCGGCACGCCGGCGCGCACCAACGCGCCGACTCTTCTGTACACTCTGGCATTTCCGGTACCACTGTTGTTGGAGACCACCGAGAACCAGCCTGCAACATAGAGGAAGATCACACGTGAGACACGATCGGAGAAAAGATTAAGACAGATTGGCGAGTATCAAGAATATTGAGAAAAATCCTATCTCTCTTTTCGCCTCTGTTATATCTTCGATTTTATCTCCTGCATTTATTTCTTTTCATTTGTAAAGAATCGAAAGAGTGAGAGCAAGATCGGCCCCATTTTTTTCGCATTCGATTTTGGTCACAAAGTAAGCTTCGTGACGAAAGGTCTCGTCAAGGCGATCGCAGATATGCCAGTCTCAGAGTGTACCTGTTTAACGTTCGAGAGATATCGGGCTCCAAAAGTTCCAAAACCGAGTTGGAGTCGATTAAGAGGTTTCCCAATGGTCGATGCTAATGACATCGTCCTGCATTTTCTATGAAACCTAAGTTAGTTCTTTATTATCTGGGGCTCTTTTATTTTCTACAATCTAAGGTTCGGTCAAAAGCATTTATAACGCCTTTTTTCGGCACTGGAACCTTTAAAGCCCGATATCTTTGGAATGTTAAATAGATACATTCTGAGACAACATATCTGTAATCAGCTTGACGAGACCTTTCGTCCGGTACCTACTTTGTGGGACCAAAATCGAGTGCGAAAAAGACGGGGCCGTTTGCCTATGGACACTTAAGTCCTCACTCTTTTAAGTGTTTTATATTTTCCACAGACGACGCACTCCTGTCGCGAAGCGTGCAACGTTATACCGCGGGATTTCGCTTTCTCGTGGAAGGACACGAGAGGCGACGCGGCACGTGTTGCCGATCGTGCGCGACATTGTCCCGCGCCTCGCTCGTTCGTTAACGCTCCTTCGGTTCTATTCCGCGCGCGAAACGTGACAAACGTCACCGTTGCTGCACGCGCGCGCCGCGTGGAAACTCGTTCCGCTTTCGCACGGCGCGGAGAAAAACCGGCCCGGCGCGCCGACTGGTTTCATAAACCTACGTTCGAGCGCATTAAAATCACCGGCGGCCAACTAATAATCCTTTTGCGAAATCACAATGTCAATTTGACCCACTTTGTTAACGCGAGCGCGGCGGCTCTCCGCGTCGCGAAACCGCGGCGTCGACGTTTATAGCTCGGCCTAACGAGATCCTAAGATCCAGTTTCATAAAGGCAATTTAAGTCACCGTATAACGTTGATCGAGTTATGCCTTTACACCGCGCCCAGCCGCGATTTTCGTTCAATTCTGCGACGCGCGGCGCCCGCAGCTACTTGGTCGCTGCTCCTTTCTCCTCATACGTGTGTGGCGTGATTTAGATTTTATTTCAAGGCGTTTGTACGACACGTATAAATCAATATAAGCGTATTATTCAATTTTGTGATTCAATACCCTTTCAGTCATCCGTGCGAGATCGACGGGGAGGATTACTCGCGGAGATCCACGGCGGCAGACCGAGGATCACGGCGTCACGCGGGTCGAGATTAAATCGGTAATCCGTCGTCGATTCGCGGAAATTTATGGCCGAATATAAATGTGTACCCGCTACGGGGCACGGTATTTACAGTACAGAGGATATAAATCGCCGAACCGTTTCGCAAGCGATTTGTACGTCGCGTTTCCGCCATTTCGAATTGATTTACACAATGAGCCTGTTGCACGAATCCCGACGATCGTTCCGCCCTATTCGCGATACGTCCTTCCCGCGAACGGATACCGCGGGATGTTTTATCGGCTATCGGCCGTCCGGACGTTTACGGCCAATTTCGGATTTATCGTTAATCGGCCTTCGCGGTGCGCGATACAGTCAGATTAAATCGCAATGTCTTCTTTCGGGAGGCGGGGATAAACGCGCGGCCATGGAATTAATGGCGCGCGATAAATTTTCAATTTAAATTTCGCTCGGGCGCGCTTAATTGGGTTCTACCGCTTCTTTTTATTCCGCCGATGATCCGGGATAAATTTCGGAGACATTAAATTTGATTATACTCGCGCATCGCGTATCGCTCTGCGTCTGAAACTTTCGCATGTTCGATTCGTTGCAAGGATATAAGATGTAAGGTAAAAAAATATTGAAAGGGTATAGAGTAAAGAAAGTGCATTAAGATAAGTTCCAATTAACTAACTAGTTCTGTACGAAGAGAAAGTGTCTCGAGACACAACGACAAAGCTGATGTCCAGTAGCGATTACCGGCACGGACATTTCCATCGGTGCTGCTATTGTAGCTATTGTAGTGCGCTCAATAATCTTGCAGCAACAACTTTCCAGGTACGAACAAATTGTGAGATATGTAAATGAATGAAGATATACTGCGAAATCGCACATGTTTTGTATTTAAATAGCAAAAACAGAATTTCTATCTCAACTGTTGGCAAATGTTAGAAAGAAAGCGTCTTTCTGTGACGCCTAGCCATTATGTTTGATTGTGGAATATAAACAGTTCTATTCCTTACAAAGTTCGTTCTAGCTGTGGTACCGAAATTTATTTTTATCCACTGTGAATGATTAATAAACAAGTAAAGTTAATTCAGGACCTTTAAGATATAAATCAAATAGAAACGAGAACGCCAAATCATTACTTAGTCATTTTACAAACAGAGTTAAGTATAGGACCATTACGATATAAATCAAACAAGCGATAGCGCCTTTAGGTCCGAGCAAGATGTTGGTAGTCCAATAACTGTAATCTGAAATCACATTTTAGATTACAATTATTGGGCTACGTTACCTTGCTCGGACCTAAAGGCGCTCTCGCGTGTTTGACTCATAATTTAAAAAATGACGACAAAGTTGTTAATTACTGCTGGGGACTTGAAGAATATTCTTATTGGTTGATTATACACCATTGACCTCAAACATGGTGTTTCCACGTAATTGGGGAATGGGGGGAAGGAGTGGACAGGAATACTTAAAAATCGCGTATCGGCAGTTCTGTGTACTGCGATTCGGAGCACAATTTAAAGTCGAAAAAATAGACGCCAAGATATCATCTGTATATACTGTTATTGCGGCAAATATTACCTTGCACATGTCTCAGTGATCGAATTGGTGAGACGCCCGCCTAGAGAGTAGGGAAGTCCGGGTCCAAACCCTGGCTGAGGTAATATTTTTCGCAGTAAATTTTCTGTACTATTCAAAATGCCAGATATGGTCAAGAAAAGACTGAAGTTAATAATTGCAAATTTACATATTAAATTAAAAATAATTAGGCTTCAGCTTGCCCGGACCTAAATAATGACCTGGCGTTCTCGTTTCTATTTAAATGATTAATATTTAGTCACGAAACCTAAGGTTTCCAGAAGGTATTGCTAGAATGGCAGTGCTATAAATTTTGTAGGCTACAAACAATTTTCTGACAGGCACACAAAATGGCGATGAATTTTTGTTGCGACACCGTCTACGTCTACGAGAAATCTACCTGCGTTAGTAAGATATTTTTTCGAGTGTGCGGACGATTATAAAATCATTCTACGGCCACGATAGCTACAGTCAACGACTGTAAAATCGTTTGTGCGATCATCGCAGCGCACTTGTCATGTGCGATTTACGGTATCCCTACGTATCCGCGATTTCACGGTGTAATGGAGACGATAAAACGCACGCAGGAGGGCACGCTTTGCGTATCCCAACGACTTCCGTAAGGCGTGATACCGATCGATCGAGAAATTTTCTCGTTGGCCGCGCGTACACGTACCGTCTACGAGAAAATCGATTACGGACGTAACTATTACAACGTTTATCAAGCCGATTCATTCAGCTCGTGCTCGCCTTGGCTGAGATCAATCTCGCCCTCGATTTCACTTGTTATACATCCCGCCTCCCTGGAACGCCTACAACTCGGTGTCAGGTTCGGAAACCGGTAGTAATTCGCGCTCGACTTAATCAGCTCAAAACTGGAACAACTTATAATCTTGACATTACTGTCGACGCTCTCGTACATATACATATATACATATCTATATATAATAAAATGCTCTCTTCCTTTCTACTTTCTTCTGAATAAGTCTTCCCGTTTTCCCTCTTTCTCTCTTTCATTTTATTTCTTCCGATCGCTTTAGTTCTCAGCGAGCATCGTAAACATACGCTTCACATTGTTTGCAAATGCAATTAAGCGTATGTTAATGGTACATTGAGCATGTAGGTATGTAGAAGAAAAGAGGCAAGGCTTGCGCTCACATCAGCCGTCACACGGAAAGAAAAACGGAAAACCCCGCGGTTGCCGAGTTATTTATGAGATACCGTACGAATGGCCAGCCTCGGAAACTTCATGGTTCGGTACAAACCGTTACTCAAACACGTCGCCGCGTCGGGATGTACAAGTCCGGCTGTTGAATCGACGATCAAGACTTCGCTGGATGTAATCTTGATCGTAGTTTAATCCTTTGCGGTCCGAGATAATATCGACAGTGTGGACGGATATTAAAAAATTCTTCCCGTAACGATATTACACACCGTTGGGTTACGTGATAACCAATTTCCGTCAGTTAGAAAAAAAATTCAAGGATAGCGTATAGCAAGAAATCGATCGCACACGTCACGTGTAGATGATTAACGAAAATATTGAAGGACTACGCCTATAAATGAGACATCGACATCGGTACGCGATAATATTCGGCAAGTTAATTAATCACACATGCGATAACTGTGATGATAAACGGGTTTTGCGGCCCGTTTTCATTAAATATTCATAGTTTCTATTCATTCTGCCCGGCTCAAAATTAGGCTTGTAAAACCGACGTGTAATCGTATTCACCGATATTATCGGCCGATCGATCTTTTCAACAGAATGTAACCTCGGATCAAGCAATCTGAATATTTTATGGGTGGGCGCGACATTCGTATGCTAATCTTTCGAGAAGAAAATGCGTTTGGCAGTCGTTGAAGCGGTTACGCGCCCATTGCCAGATACGTGTCACGCTAGATTACTCATTAGGTATCAGATCGCTCTCATTGCAACGGAGGTCAGGGCGAACGTCGAAGCAAGAGTGAATTCCATCGGCGACTTTCGCATTTGCGTAATCGCCGCCCTGTGGTCGCGCATGTGTACAGC